AAATTAGTAGCAAACTAGAAAGCTCGTAAGCTAGTAAACTAGCACTCGCACGGTCTCAATCATGTCAGTGCAGTGGCTTGGTATCGCGACAATGCTTTTTCAGGATAATCTAGATTATTTTGGTCGGAACATGTCGGAAGGAAGGATTAGTTCATAATATGAGCAGAGTCCAAAACACCCTTCATGATCCTTCATGTAGTTAGAGGGAGTTGTGCGGTATAGCCGCTGCCCAGTGTACGCACAATCCGGCATTCGGCGTAACTAGAACCCTGTGCAAGATTGTGCAAGTCAAAACCATAGAGCTGAAGTATAGCAAGAGCGTAAGCGAACCCATGCGACATAGACATTCAATCACACGTCTTGGGCGCCACGCGTATATACCAATGTTGGGCCCAAGTGAATCCATATGTTTTCTCTGCTGTGTCCAGATTGTGTTGGCATTTGGAACCTGGTACATAATGGGTTCGCAATGGACCTGGCATGTCTCCAAACTTTGTGACCCTTGTTGAGTTTTTCAATGGTTTTCTTAAGGTTTTTCAATACTTTTGTCTTTGGGAGTCCTTGGCTGATTGCCGCCAGTTGCTGCAAGTTGTTTTGCTATATCTTGTTTGCTTTCCTGTCTCGATGCCGTCAGCAGCAGTGGCCCCAGTGGACCTCGATGTCCAGAGGAGCACCATTTTGATGAATTTGCCACCTGGCCAAAATGAAGCGAAGCATAGCATTGGGCAGCAACAGGCATGAAGAGGACGAACACACATTCAGATGCATTCTTGTCATGCATTCACACCGACGGTAGGATAGATTGGCCACGAGAGAGAGGGGGAGAGAGAGACAAGGAGACAAGGAGACAAGGAGACAAGGAGACACGGAGACAAGGAGACAAGGAGACAAGGAGACAAGGAGACAACACCTAGCGAACCAGAACCTAAAGACCATGTTGTGGGAGATCTGGAAAAAGCGGAATCTTTTGCAAGATTCCTTGTCAGGTTTCAGACTTTTTTCTTTGGCAGGCCAGGCATTCATGCCAGAGCAGGCAAATTCGTACAAGCGATAGTTGCTGCCATTCTGGAGAAACTCTTGAATAAGATGCTCCTTTCTTTGATCCTTCTGAAAGCGTCATTGCTTCAAGTATATCTCCTGCAGGCTCCCCACGGAGCTGCTCCGTGCCAATTTCGGATGTTTGCCTAGGTGTCCGTTTTTATATTAAACTTAAAGGCTCCTCCATCGGGGCATGCACATGCAGATAGTTTCCAAGAGATTGAAGGCAGCTCAAAGTTGTTCGACAATTGGGCCTTTCCTGCATCTATTCTGATAGTGTAGGGCAACACCACGTTGATTAGGAGTCATTGACTCTTTCCCTTATTTTCATGCCTTTTCCCTAGTTTAATTTTGGTCTCATCTTTGTCTCATCTGTGTCTCATGTTTATCTCATCTTTGTCGCATGTGGATCTCATCGGTGTCTCATCTTTGTCTCATCTTTGTCTCATCTTTGTCTCATGTGTGTCTCATCTGTGTCTCATCTGTGTCTCATGTGTGTCTCATCTGTGCCCCATCTTTGTCTCATGTGTGTCTCATGTGTGTCTCATCTTTGCTTCGTGTGTGTCTGTGTGTGTCTCACGTGTGTCTCATCTTTGTCCCATCTTTGTATCATGTGTGTCTAATGTGTGTTGCATCTGTGTCTCATTTGTGTCTCATCTTTGTCTCATCTTTGTCTCATCTTTGTATCATGTGTGTCACATGTGTGTTGCATTTGTGTCTCATCTGTGTCTCATCTTTGTCTTATCTTTGCCTCATTGTGTCTCATGTGTGTCCCATCTGTGTCTCATCTTTGTCTCATGTGTGTTTCATGTGTGTCTGGAGACAGTATGTCTCAGCTTTTTCTCATCTGTGTCTTATCTGTGTCTCATGTGTGTCTCATCTTGTGTCCCATGTGTCTCTCATCTTTGTCTCATCTTTGTCTCATGTGTGTCTCATCTTTTGTCTCATCTTTGTCTCATCTTGTGTCTTATCTGTGTCTCATGTGTGCCCCATCTTGTGTCTCATCTTTGTCTCATGTGTGTCTCACGTGTGTTTCATGTGTGTCTCATCTTTGCATCATGTGTGTCTCATCTTTGCATCATGTGTGTCTCATCTTTGTCTCATGTGTGTCTCATGTGTGTCTCATCTTGTGTTTCATCTTTGTTTGGTCTGTGTCTCATGTGTTTCTCATCTTGTGTCTCATCTTGTGTCTCATCTGTGTCTCATGTGTTCGTTCAGCATTTTGTGTCTTATCTTTGTCTCATCTTTGTCCCTTGTGTGTCTCATGTGTGTCTTATGTGTGTCCCATCTTTGTCTCATGTGTGTCATGATGTATGTCTCATCTTTGTCTCATGTGTGTTTCATGTGTGTCTGCAGACAGTGTCTTATCTTTGTCTCATGTGTGTGTGTGTGTCCCATCTTGTGTCTGATGTGTGTCCCATCTTGTGTCTCATGTGTGTCTCGTCTTTGTCTCATCTTGTGTCTAATGTGTGTCCCATCTTGTGTCTCATGTGTGTCTCATCTTGTGTCTCATCTTGTGGCTCATCTTGTGTCTCATGTGTGTGTGTGTAGCAGTGTAGCATTTCGTGTCTTATCTTTGTCTCATCTGTGCCTCATGTGTGTCCTATCTTGTGTCTCACCTTTGTCTCATCTGTGTGTCTTATCTGTGTGCCCCATCTTGTCTCTCATGTGTGTCCCATCTTGTGTCCCATGTGTGTCTCATCTGTTTCTCATCGATGATCTTTGTCCCATCTTTTTGCCAAGCTCAGCCAAGGCCGGTGAGAAAGAACACCAGTTCCAAGGCAGCGGCCGCAATTTGATCATCAGAACTTATGAGGTCCCATGACTGTGCTAGCCTAGCGGCGGCCTAGTGGCCCCAGGAAGAAGTGTTTGATTGCGCCGGCTAAGCCACTGCAGTTCCATATGATCATTATTATCAGAAAAAATTACTGGGATGGATAGAGGGGTTCAAAGTCATTGTTCTTTTTAAGTTTGTTTCCAAGTTTGACTTTTTGATAGCTTTCTCATTCTTCCTCAGCCGCTTTGCTTTAACATGTTGAAGATAAAACAAGGTTCAAGAATGATGATAATATGAATATGCATAGAATGTGCATGCCGGATGCCTATGCAAATATGAACACGCCTGGAACCATATGAACTTGGAAAGAACAGATGTACAAATGGGTACCCGCGCCTGCAAAATCACCAGCCCACATGCGGGTTCTTGCCATATTGCGCCAACAATGCTGAGAAAGTCACAGTTTGCCTTGCAAACTCAGGATTTCATGCAGAATGCAATTGGTGGAGTGGTGACGCGTGCTTCCAAGGATGTCCAATTGCACGCAACTCACACGCTAGAGCCGCTAGAGTGCTGGCTATTGCCATCGTTTTCTGCTGTTTGCCAAGCTGTTTGCGGTTTGTGTGGTGCGCACCGCGCCCCATGCATCGGTCTGTCGTATTCTTTTAATTCTCTTGTCGACCTTCGACAGGACTTGGCCAGGTGGGCTACGGAGGTGCCATGAGCACCTGCTGAGGATAAGGAAAAACTGAAGTGAGAATCGGCCCTGGACGGGTAATGTTCAATAATAAGTTCAATAGATGATTCAGGATTTTTGCGGACTCTTGCGGACTCTTGCCTTTCCTGTTGGCATTTGCGTTTGTTTTTTTGATGGCTTGTCCTTTGTGCAAACGGATGATGGTAGCTTCCCGCAAATACCGCCATAAGGTGCCGAAAGATTGGCATGGCTGCCAAACGGTAGAGCTGGGTTCTGGATGTGGTTTAGTCAGCAGTGTGTCTCGACGAAAGGGTGCTGTCATAACAGTCCGGTTCTGATTTTCGGCTTGCATGCCATTGCTTTGTCTCGTGTGGAGGAGAGACTAGGGTGACATAGGGTGACTAGGAGACCTGTCATGTAGATCTTGTAGCAGATTTTGGCGGTGGCACAGCCTCGCGCAGCCCACCATGGAGTGACAACATGTGGGCACACATGCTGTGACGAACGTTTTGCCTTTTCTAAGGCCCTTCTTCGAATGGGAGCCCACATTGTTGCTACTGACCTCGCGGAAATCCTCCCACACTTGGAGTACAACATTTCGCTGAATGCATATTCAGGCCTGGGTTCAATACGATGTTGTAATGCAATATAATGTAATGTATTCTTGTTGAAAATGTTGAAAAGAAAGTGAAACACACACATAAATGTAAATATTACATAATATTACACCGATACACACACATACACATATACACACTGTCCTCAATGATTGTACGTGAGTACGGTCGGTACATTGGACCCGACTTTGCAGTTTGAGGTGCTGTACAGGTGCATTCAATGCGTAGGCTGCGACTCGATGTTATGTCACTTTATGCCCGGGGAAAAAAGTAATCTTATAATGACTTTGAGTTTTGGAACACGTCGAACTTGTCAACCAGCAGGTGCAAGTCATTGCAAGTCGCTGTTTTCAGGATATGGCAAATGCTGCTGTCTTCCAAGACCTTCTAACTTCCAACATTTTCCAACCTGTTGAAACTGAGCACCAAAAAGATACACAAAGGATGGCCAGTCCGGCAGGCTGCGACGAGTGGCATGTGCAAGCATTGAATTGGGACAGTTCAAGCGAAACCTGGATCAGATGTGATGAGGCAATCAGGTTGTCCAGTCGGGTTTGTTCCGTTTATCCATGTTCATCCCATGTAATATATGCTCAGTATGCACGGATTAGTTTGGCATGGGTTCGGGCTAAGGTTCGGGCTAAGGATCGGGCTGCCTTGCGATCAAAGCTTGGAAGCAGCGGTGCAGATGCAATTTTTGCAGCAAACTGAACCTTGCTACAATATGCTAAAAATTGCTAAAACATGTTTCAACTTGTCAAGTCCAATCTGTTGAGGTCTGTGCTTGATTTGCTTGGGCTAGTCTCATTGTGTAGCCCACGCCCCACGGATCTGGAACGGGCTGTGAATTCAAAACGTGGCAGCCCCAGGTGTTTACACTCGTGACACTGTCGGGATGTTCCTCAAGACTCTCAAGGCCAGCGATGCTTGCGCGGTGGAAACGAGTAAAGGTTATCAAAAGACGTCATTTTCTTCAATGGTTTTAGAATTCTCGTCTGGTCACGCTTGCATTTTTGCCTTTTGTTCTTTGCCTCGTCTCTCCCTCCATCGCGCTCCTTTGAGTCGTTTTGTTTCTGGTGCATTGAAGCTGATGTTCGCAGACTGCTTTCAACACAATTGCATGGTTCGAACCTCTAACTCTTCCTAGCTTTGAGATGCTTTGGCCGCACACGCTTGGCCTGAAGTTGTTGGAGCTGACCGACCCTATCGGATGTGTATGTTGCCGTGATGTTGCCCCAGACACGCTTGCTGCCAAAGGTTAAGACAACTTGCGCGTTGAAGAGGCTCTACCATACTTGTACGTAGTCGCAGCATGTTACAGCGCATGATTGCTCTAAACATACCCAAACCTTTCGGTGGCATCAGTTCAAACAAAAGATGCTCAAGCAAATAGATCAAAAAATGACAGCCAGAAGTTCAGTAACGCAGGGCCAACCGGCAATCCACACTGGGGAATTAAGCTCTGAACGTTTGCGGCGCCCACCCCGTGACTGCCAGCTGTTAGCTGCAGGAAGCACGATGAACACCAACACACAGCAATATGAGCGATACAAACATACAAAACAAGACGCAACCAAAACAAGACGCAACCAAAACATGACGCAACCTATACCAAAATGCGCATTGATTCACATGTTTTGCACATTTCAATTTCTTGAGGCATTGTCTGGCCCAGACACTCTCGCGCTGATGTGCGGGGTTCCAGTGCCGCCTGCCATGCTGCAGGACGGCGTGGCCTGGTTTGTTTTCAGATAGCAGTTTTTTTTTGGTAATTGCAAATTTCAGATCACTCCTTGATGATGAAGGCTTGCGCACGTATTTGTATATAATCTTAGCTTCGGATTAATAAGGGGGGCACCCCCCGCGCAATAATGTAAAGCCTCCCCGAAATTATATATTTTTTTTTTTTATAGGATTTCAGTCTCAAAGGGGTTTGAAACAGGTTCAGGTCATTTCCCCCGAAATGGATGTAACCGAGATTCCTTTTCCAATGTTTACATACATACATACATACATACATGCATACATACTTACATAAATACATACATACAAACATACGTACGTATGTACATCCATCCATCCATCCATCCATCTCCATCCATCTCCATCCATCTCCATCCATCTCCATCCATCTCCATCCATCTCCATCCATCTCCATCCATCTCCATCCATCTCCATCCATCTCCATCCATCTCCATCCATCTCCATCCATCATCCATCCCATCCATCCATCCATCCATCTTCATCCATCTTCATCCATCTTCATCCATCTTCATCCATCTTCATCCATCTTGATCCATCTTGATCCATCTTGATCCATCTTGATCCATCTTGATCCATCTTGATCCATCTTCATCCATCTTCATCCATCTTCATCCATCTTCATCCATCTTCATCCATCTTCATCCATCTTCATCCATCTTCATCCATCTTCATCCATCTTCATCCATCTTCATCCATCTTCATCCATCTTCATCCATCTGCATCCATCTGCATCCATCTGCATCCATCTGCATCCATCTCCATCCATCTCCATCCTGTGAAGTTTGGTGCCGAGGGATTGGTCATTTGCACATCCATGAACCATGGGTTGTGACTGCAGTGCACTGGGCCGAGATTCATTAGAAAAGGCGCGTCGTTCTTTGCATGCCATGGCCATTTGATTTCTTTGAACACCATTTGCAAGCAGCACGCATTTTGGTGAGTTGGCACCGGAGCCTGGTGTCATGTTTTACAACATGTCGGATGGTGGCGATTCAGATGGTGCATTTGATGGTTTTCATGCTAATGCTGCCTATGAATTTGACCTCTTCGGCGATGACTACGAAAGTAGTTTTGATCCTGTTGATCAGCATTTCGATGATCGTTCACCTCCGGATGTTGGACAGACCGATAGCAGATCCAGGGTTAGCACATGTTGGCGATGCTACAGTTGCAATGCTGACAACTATACTTGGTCGACCTCCCACAGCAAGTGGACATGCATGGTTTGTGGCTCAGATGAGTTCTATGATGTGACTCAGCCACGTCGGCATGAGACACAGGATGGATGTTGGTTGTACCTGCCCAAGGCCAATTCAGATGACAAGCAATCGACACTTTCAGAACATGCACCGCCGGATGACTCTTGGAACGGCGACGGCGAAAGGAACGACAGTGAGGGACATACTACTGATCCAATTGTTGATCCTGACGCGCTGTCAGTTCAGGGACGTCGACGGCGACGAAGAGCGCGACGAACGAATCAAACACCGGACACGGAAGTGCCACAGTTGAACAACAATACGTCAGCCGGAAACGATCAAATTGTGGATTTGTTAACACAACTGGTGGCGAATCAGAACAAAAAGAGTGACAGCAGCAGTGCATCATGGACATCGAGACAGGGCCCATTCAAAGGGGTTCGATGGCGAGGCGGCACACCGCCATCTCCGCCACCTTGGAGGAACTCCAACGACTTGAGAGCCTTCGCACGTTGGGAGCGCAAGATCGACGTGTGGAGCATGCAGATTAAGCCCTTCATGCCCATGTCAGATGCTGCATTGATGTTGTTCACTTCATTAACTGGTGAAGCAGAGTTGGAAACAGAACATTTGGACATCAACAAGATCAATACATCCGATGGCATCAAGTATCTCATGGATTCATTGAGGGAACCCCTGCAGCAGAAGTTGCTTTTCCAGAAGCGCAAACTGCTTGCTGACTACGAACAGGTTGCCCGGTACCCCAACGAGTCGGTTCGTCAGTTCTCCAATCGATACGTTCGGGTGGAGAAAGACCTTGCTGCCATTGGAGTCTCTACATCTGGAATGTACGACAGCGAGTCACGTGGCAACCGCCTTCTGGAAAGGACTCGACTGACACCGGATTTGCAGAGACTTGTTTTGATTGGAGCTGGGAACACTTTGGAATTTGATCGGATCCGTGAATCACTCAATTTTCAATTTCCTGATTTCCGTGCTGCTCCACAAGTGATGGGTCACAACTCTGGCGGATCCTCAAAAGGGAAAGGCAAAGGCACTTCATCGACTTCATCTACGACCTTGTCATCAAGCCCTTCAGCATCCTCGTCCAGTACGAGTTCGGGCTCAGCTTCCAAGTTTTCCAAAGGAAATCATCCAAGAAGGGTGTACCAAGCTGACCACGAGCCTGAGCTAGATCAGATCCCTGAGGAATCTGGTGAAGCCGAGGACGATATGGCTGAAGAGTTTGAAGATGCTGAAGAATATCATCAAGATGATGATGCCGCTGGAGATGATGGAGAACCAGATGACAACCAAGATGATGATGTGGAAAACTTGGCATCGGTGTTGACGGTGACTTCGAAGAAATTAGCCTCAACGGTGCTTGGCAGGAAGTTCACTGGTCGACCTCGAAGCCTTGAAGAGCGAAAGCGGACTTCAACCTGTGCAGCATGTGGCCAGACCGGCCATTGGGCTGGAGATGCCATATGTGCAGCCTCAGCGAAAACCAACTCCAAAGGAGCTGGCAAACAATCGAAAGATGGCGGAAAAGGCAACGCTTCAGGTAAGCATCAGGGGCAAACCCACACCAAGAAGGCCTATGTTGTCAACTTTCCTGGGGAACTACCTCTTGAAGTACCACATCCACCTGGGGAAGATGCTATATCGGGTTCATCCGCATCATTGGGAACAAGTTCAGCATTGGGGAATCCTTCATCGTTTTATACTTTCACGACTACACATCTAGTTGAACATGACCCCTTTAATGCCTACATCGCCGAAATCATCAACTTTGCCGGGTACATGATTGTTGACACGGCATGCCAAAGATCATGTTGTAGTAGACGATGGTTGGATATCCATAGCAAGATCATGGGCAACTACCGGTTTAGACCCCTCATGGTTGAAGCTTCGGACAACTTCCAGTTCGGCTCAGGAGGGCTGCATGTTGCGAGCAAGCGGGCATATCTCCCAGCAGCATTACCAGGTCAGCCGACTCAGGGTTTACTGCTTGGAGTTAGTGTTTTGGAAGATGCTCAGATTCCTTTTTTGGCTAGCAATGTCATGCTTGAGAAGTTGGGATGTGTCATCGACACGGTACGAGAGCGTTTGCGTTTCGAGTTCATTGGTGTTGACATTCCACTTCATCGAAAACATGGTCACTATGTTGTCAACATTGCCAAGTTCACGCAACATGCACACATGTCAGATGTTTGGAAAATCATGTCAACAGATGAGTTTTTGAAAAGCCCTGATCCTGAAGTGATGATCGCAGCAACTCTTGCACAAGCGAGTGAACACCCAATTCGAGATCCAGCTCATGCAGCGAGTCACCAACGTCCCACCAGAATGGCTTCAGCGCTGGCGGAACTTCATGATCCGCCTGATGACGTTGTGTTTCAGGACACTGCGGAGCATGAGCAGGATGGTGCGACTTCGAATGGCACCACGATCATGGATGACCATGCTGGAACAGCACAACTTGACGTTGGAGTTTCAGGCCGAGAATGCTTCCAGACGTCGTCCAGTCCCAAGTCTTTGCACTCATCCAAGCTTCCGAAGGTATGGAAACAAGGCAGGACGTTTCAGCCAATGCAACGACTGCCTGCTGAAGTACAAGTACAATCAAGAACGACAAGGCTGGGAGGTCTATGGAGAGCAGCCCTCACAGCGCTCATCACAATTGCCACTGCCCTCTCCTTCGACCATCCTGCCATCAACGAATCCGAGAGCCATGGGGTCTCGACCCAAGGCCCGAGCAGCCAGGACAGCTTCGAGGAGCTCTATGGCACCATCAGAGGCTATGACACCATGGGAGGAAGCTGGGATGACCTTCGAGGAGTACGATGCCGCAATGACGAGCGCACCTCATCTGGATTCAGACGAACCAGACGGCTATCCACCTTACGACGAGGGCTACGATTGGACATCGATCGCCTGAACGAGGACTACTGGGAGCTTGCAGCCGGATGCTGCATACGGCATCACCTGGTGCCCCGCAATGAGCTCTTTGACCCCTACGACACAGACTGTCCAGTAGCTCTTCATCGTCTACGACAAGTTGGTGCGGCCGAGATTGAATATGAAGACGGCAAGTTGGAGGTGGTGCACTATAATTGGACAAGGAGATCCAACAAGCAGACCTCTTCACCTTGGACTGGCCGCACAGTTTTCCAGTTCAAGGAGTTCAGCAAGAATGACTTGACGAACGCCTGCAAGCGTGGTCTTCTTCAACGACTACGTCATGCAGCGAAACTTCAAGAAGTTGAGAAGGTTTTAATGACCAAGGTCAAACCAAGGTTTCGAAAATCACGAGTCGACCTCCTTGAGACCTTTGCGGGGGCGGCCAACATCAGCAAGCAGGCTTCAGCATGGGGCCTCAAGTCTTTGGAACCGTTGGACTACAACACAGGCTATGACCTTGCCGAACCTGACACCCAACGCCAGGTGACTTCAATGATTTCCAATTACAGACCACTGCTCCTACTGCAAGGAGTCGAATGCGGACCTTGGAGCATCCTTCAGGACAATACCAACTTTGTTCACCGCCCAGATGAGCTTGCAGAATGGCGTGAAACCATCCGTCCTATGATCGATCAGGTGGTCAAATGGTGCGAGCAGCAGGATGATGAGGGCCGATTTTGGCTCATTGAGAACCCAGAGACAAGCAGACTTTGGAAGGAGCCTGCTATGAGGAGATTGCTTGCAAGACCATCGACGAGGACGACTACATGCCACGCTGGGGCCTATGGAGCTGTGAACAGCAAAGGCAACATGATCAAGAAGCCACACACATTTTGGGGCAACTGCCCAAAAATCCTCGAACAACTCGGCGACAAGCTGAATGCCGAGGAATGCAAACTATGTGAACCACTTCAAGGACGAGAAACCACTTTGAGCCAACACTACTGCCAGGGCATGGTTGATGCGATCCTGCTCGGGCTACATCAGACAGCCGCAGAACAAGATCCAATGCGACCACATTCCTATGCAACCTATGCCATCGACTCCAACGAGGTGAACCAGTCTTTGGAGGCTTGGCAAGAACTTTTCGACAAGGCCGAGCAACTGTTCAGACAGACCAGGATGAAGAACATTGTGCTCGCCCAGAGCGACAACTTTTGGCAGGACGTTCGCAGATTGGTCCCATGGCACACCCTTGAAAGGGTACAGATAGCAAAACAGCCTGCCATTCATCGATTTCCAACACATGTGCCTCACACTCATCGAGGTTCGGCATTGCTCTTCAACGACGGCTCCAGAGATGTGACGGTTGAGGACCTGACCGACATTCGATATCCCAAAGGACGATTCCAAAAACCTGTCAACATTGGCATATTCTTCTTTGGCATGGCCCATTCTCCTCAACAAGAACCAGATCAACAACAGCCTCAACCTGCTTCAGTACAACCGCACGTTGAGGATAATCCCATTGCCAGAGCAGATTTCCTTGACAGAGACATCACTTTCCCTGAGAACAAGGACTACAACAACGATACAAAGAACATCGTGACAAGACTTCACAAGAACCTGGGACATCCACCAGCAACTGAACTGAAGAAACTACTGGCGATGAACGGTGTTTCCAATCAGAAGATCCTTGCGGCCGCAGATGACCTCATTTGCGGTTCTTGCAAAAGGACCAGAGCCCCAATGAAACCCGCACCTTCGTCAATGCCTCAGTCAAACTTCAGACAGTTTGCAGATGCTATCCAACTTGACATTGTCTACATCCGCGACATCACTGGCCAGAATTTCCCTGTTTTGGGAATTATTGATGAATGCACCCATCTACACCAAGCATGCATCCTTGAAAGCAGACTGCCTGAAGAAGTCCTTCGGAAGTTCGTCCAGACTTGGTCTCAACCTTTTGGATTTCCATTAGTCTGCCGACTTGATGCTGATGGAAGTTTTCGAGCAGCCTTCGAAGAACATTTGGACGCCACCGGAACATTTGCTGACTTCGTTCCACCAGAAGCTCACCACAGAATGGGCCTGATCGAACGGCACAATGCCACCTTGAGGGCCATCGCTGAGCGCGTGATTGATGCGCAAGGCGTTGTGGGCTTCAATCAGATGGAAATGGCCATTGCAGGAGCCACCTTTTCAAAGAACTCATGCACTTGGTCTTCCGGACGGCCTCCCTACATAGCTGCTTTTGGACGGATTCCACGACACGGGGGACTAGATCTACTTTCAGACCAACACGGACTTGCAGTTGGATCCACACAGGGCCAGATGCACCAGTTGGCTGACACCTTGAGGGCCGAAGCTCAGCAGCAGATTGCTGCGATGACTGTGGATTCCTCTTTTAGACGAGCTCTTTTGAGGAAAGCCAAGCCAAGCCCCGAGGATGAGTATGTCATCGGCGACACTTTGGCATACTGGAGATGGACTACAAGAAGTGGCAAGAAACGTGGTGGCTACAAATTAGCCAGGATGTTGGGATTTGACCCTGACGGCAAATCCTTGTGGGTTCAGTCTGGAACCAACACCATCAAGCTGGCCCGTGAACAAGCCAGGAAGGCCTATGGTTTTGAAGCTTGGCATCCAGACCCATCAGATCTTCAAGCTCTACGTATGGCATCTGAGAACATCAAGAAGGGCATTTTTGATGACGAGACCATTCCTATTCAGAACGATCCATACCAGGAGCTTGGGAATGATGACCACCTCAAAGAGACCTTCCTTGAACCTGCGCCACTACCAGCTCTTCATCCAATTCAACAACTACAACCTGAACCTGCGCTTCAGGTGGTGCCACATTCTTCAGAACTATCTCAACCTTCTTCAGTACTACCTGAGCTACCTCAACAACCAGAGGCACAACAACATACTCAGATCAACACACAACAAGAAATTAGCAATCAACATCAACAGACCAACATCCACATAGAAGTGACATCACCAACCTACAGACAAACAATCAATCAACAAGCAAACACTTTTGGACTTACACAAGAACAGCTGAGACGCCCAGCTGTGAGAACACCAGTACGCAGAACAAACAGAAGCAGGACACCTAGCAAGAGAAAACAACCAGCAATACCCGAAACACCCGACATACCTGCAGCACCAGCAACACCGTTGTTGGACACACCGCCACAAGCATCACACACACACAGAACACACAGCCAGACACAGCAGTCGTGATATCCGACGACGAGGTCGGCGACACAGCGCCAGTCACACCACCTGGCATTAGCAAACAGGCAGGAACAGACACAGCACCAGCACCTCTAACACCGGCGAAACGACCGCTTGAAACACACACAGGGCCTAGCACACCAAGGTCGCGAACGTCCCAAGCAGCACAGCCAAACACAGAGGTGCAAGCAGAAGCAACATCCAAGCCTGATGCTACAACGTTTCACAATCAGCTTGTCAATATGGCAGCACCAGAATTCAAACAAGCCTACACGGCTAGCATGACAGCACCGAATCAGCACAGCCCACAGCACTGCAAGTTTCACCGTACAGCAACTCAAGCATCGATGACCTACACAACAGAAGGCATCGAACTTAGAGACAAACACTTCGATGGCACCGAAGAGATCTACATGCCACACAAGAGCAACACGTGCTTCAAAGCATACCAGGCAAATGCAGAATATGAAGGTGACGGCATCAGCGATGACTCAGACGTATCGCAAGATGACATGTCCACCTCCAAGGCACAACAACCGTCTCTTACACGACAACAACAGAAAGCCTTGGATAAAGAACTGCCGTGGAGGACCATCATGGAACGTGGGGGCGACTATCTCCAGGCATTCATCGACGCCACCAAAGCTGAGGAGACATCGTGGATGCAGTATGACTCCGTCGAGCCCCTCTCCAAGGCCGAGGCAGACAAGATCATGGCTTCAGCTGAAGGACGAAAAAGGATCTTGAAGTCTAGGGCAGCCTTTAGAGACAAGGCAAAAGGGGCTGGCCCAGTTCGGGCCAAATGCCGAATTGTGGCATTGGGTTGCCTTGATCCAGATCTCTACTCACTGAACAGAGACAGTGCAACGCCAACACGTCAAGCTGAGATGATCATCTATGCCATCTTCATCTCAGGTTACAACAAGAAGATGGGACAAGGAGAAGTCACATGGACACTATGGGCAGGAGACGTCAAGACTGCCTTCCTCCAAGGAGAGCCCGAGCCGAGGCACGCTCCACTATATCTGTCCCCACCAAGAGATGGTATATGCATTGCAGCTGGCGTGCTACCTGCACCTCTATACAGAATCAAGGGAAACATCTATGGGTTGGCTTCAGCACCAAGAACGTGGACAACGCATGTCTGCCGACGCCTCAAGGAATGTGGATGGCAACAACATTCACTTGACAAGATGCTGTTCTTTTTGTACCAGCGTCCAGCCGGCTTCAAGGAAGAAATCCTGGTCGCCGCTGCAATTGTCTATGTAGACGATTTCTTAGTGACGTTCAACGAATATTTCAATCACCAGGAACTCCTCCAAATATTCAACTGGGGTAGTCAAACCACTTTGACCACCGAGAACCACTTGGAATTCAAGGGGAAGGAGATTTACTTGCGCTATGACAAGCGCGGGTTCTATGTCCTGGAGATTAAACAGCAGAAGTTCATTGAGGCCTTCAAGAGCGGCAAGATCAGTGGCAAAAAGGATGACCCTTTGAAACCCAGTGATTTCCCAGAGTACCGTTCAGTGGCCGGAAGTTTGCAATGGGTTTCTGGACAGACGCGTCCAGATGTGGCAGCGACAGTAAGCTTGCACAGCAAAGGCAGTAAAGCACAGTACAGCGATTTGCTGGCAATGTATGATGCAGTTGAACATCTGCGGAACACCAAGACCAAGGGCTTCATCATGAACCCCGTGAACATTAATCAGTCCACCATCATGGTCACCTACTCCGATTCTTCATGGGCGAATGCGGAGAACTATGCCTCACAGCATGGATGTTTGGTGCTCCTAACAGATACGCGCGCTACTGAAGTGGCAACACATGGTTGCCTGATTGACTGGAAAAGCTCAAGGTCAAGCAGAGTTTGCCGTACTAACGCTAGCGTTAAGTCGTATCAGCTTGTAAAAGTCGTATCGGGAGGCCGTGCGCCTGGAAAAAGTTCAAGTTTGGCATCGCCACAACTTTTAGTAATTGAACAATTTCATTGTTTTGGGGCCGTGCGGCTGGAAAAAGTTCAATGTTTTTTATTGCGTTGATTTTAAAAAAATATATTTGATCATTCTTTCAAGGGGGCAAACGCTGGTTGCTGCTTGCCTGCTGCTTGCCTGCTGCTTGCCTGCTGCTTGCCTGCTGCTTGCCTGCTGCTTCCTTGCTGCTTGCCTGCTACTTGCTGCTGATTGCTGCTGCTTGCTGCTGCTTACCTGTTGCTGCTCACCTGCTGCTCACCTGCTGCTCACCTGCTGCTCACCTGCTGCTTGCCTGCTGCTTGCCTGCTGCTTCTGCTCCATGCTGCTGCTTGCTGCTGCTTGCTGCTGCTTACCTGCTGCTGCTCACCTGCTGCTCACCTGCTGCTTGCCTGCTGCTTCTGCATACTGCTGCTTGCTGCTACTTTCTGCTGCTACTTGCTGCTGCTTACCTGCTGCTGCTCACCTGCTGCTCACCTGCTGCTCACCTACTGCTTGCCTGTTGTTGCTGCTCCTTGCTGCTCCTTGCTGCTCCTTGCTGCTCCTTGCTGCTGCTTGCTGCTGCTTGCTGCTGCTTGCTGCTGCTTGCTGCTGCCTGCTCCTGCTTGCTGCTGCTTGCTGCTGCTTGCTTCTGCTTGCTGCTGCCTGCTCCTGCTTGCTGCTGCTTGCTGCTTGCTGCTTGCTGCTTGCTGCTTGCTGCTTGCTGCTTGCTGCTTGCTGCTTGCTGCTTGCTTGCTTGCTTGCTGGCTGGCTGGCTGGCTTGCTGGCTTGCTGGCTTGCTGGCTTGCTGGCTTGCTGGCTTGCTGCTGCCGCTGCTGCTGCTGCTTGCTGCTTGCTGCTGCTTGCTGCTGCTTGCTGCTGCTTGCTGCTGCTTGCTGCTGCTTGCTGCTGCTTGCTGCTGCTTGCTGCTGCTTGCTGCTTGCTTGCTTGGCCTGCTGCTGCTTGCTGCCTGCTGCTGCTTGCTGCTTGCTGCTTGCTGCTTGCTGCTTGCTGCTTGCTGCTTGCTGCTTGCTGCTTGCTGCTTGCTGCTTGCTGCTTGCTGCTTGCTGCTTGCTGCTTGCTGCTTGCTGCTGCTGCTGGCTGCTGCTGCTTGCTGCTGCTTGCTGCTGGCTGCTTGCTGCTTGCTGCTTGCTGCTTGCTGCTTGCTGCTTGCTGCTGGCTGCTTGCTGCTTGCTGCTTGCTGCTTGCTGCTTGCTGCTTGCTGCTTGCTGCTTGCTGCTTGCTGCTGCTGCTGCTTGCTGCTGCTGCTTGCTGCTGCTGCTTGCTGCTTGCTGCTGCTTGCTGCTGCTTGCTGCTGCTTGCTGCTTGCTGCTGCTTGCTGCTGCTTGCCTGCTGCTGCTGCTGCTTGCTGCTGATTGCTGCTGCTTGCTGCTGCTTGCTGCTTGCTGCTTGCTGCTTGCCTGCTGCTGCTTGCTGCTTGCTGCTTGCTGCTTGCTGCTGCTGCTCTGCTTGCTTGCTGCTTGCTTGCTTGCTTGCCTGCTTGCTTGCCTGCCTGCCTGCCTGCCTGCCTGCCTGCCTGCCTGCCTGCTTGCTGCTTGCTGCTGCTGCTTGCTTGCTGCTTGCTTGCTGCTGCTTCTTGCTGCTTTCTTGCTTGCTTTCTTGCTTTCTTGCTTTCTTGCTTGCTTTGCTTGCTTGCCTGCTTGCTTGCCTGCTTGCTTGCCTGCTTGCTTGCCTGCTTGCTTGCCTGCTGCTTGCCTGCTGCTGCATGCTGCATGCTGCTGCATGCATGCTGCATGCTGCTGCATGCTGCTGCTGCTGCTTGCTGCTTGCTGCTGCTGCTGCTGCTGCTGCTGCTGCTTGCTGCTTGCCTGCTGCTGCTTGCCTGCTGCTTGCCTGCTGCTGCTTGCCTGCTGCTGCTTGCCTGCTGCTGCTTGCATGCTGCTGCTTGCCTGCTGCTGCTTGCATGCTGCTGCTTGCCTGCTGCTGCTTGCCTGCTGCATGCTGCTGCATGCTGTTCCCTGCTGCTGGTTGCCTGCTGCTTCTTGCCTGCTGCTGCTTCCCTGCTGCTGCTTGCCTGCTGCTGCTGCTGCTGCTGCTGCTGCTTGCCTGCTGCTGCTGCTTGCCTGCTGCTGCTGCTGCTTCCTCCTCCTGCTGCTGTTGCTGCTTCCTCCTGCTGCTGCTTTGTGCTGCTGCCTCCTACTGCTGCCTCCTCCTGCTGCTGCTGCTGCTTCCGCCTGCTGCTGCTGCTTCCTCCTGCTGCTGCTTCCTTCTGTTGCTGCTGCTGCTTCCGCCTGCTGCTTTCTCCTCTGCTGCTTCCTGCTGCTTCCTGCTGCTTCCTGCTGCTTCCTGCTGCTGCTGCTGCTGCTGCCTCCTGCTACTGCTCCTCCTGCTGCTGCTGCTGCTTCCGCCTGCTGCTGCTGCTGCTTTCTCCTCCTGCTGCTGTTGCTTCCTGTTGCTTTCTGCTGCTGCTGCTGCTGCTGCCTCCTGCTGCTGTTGCTTCCTCCTGCTGCTGCTGCTGCTTCCTCCTGGTGCTGTTGCTGCTTCCTCCTGCTGTTGCTGCCACTCGTGCAAACATTTTGCCGAAACAGAAAATAACAGTCTCGGTCGCCTTGTTTGGCGCTGACGGGAGGTATGGGCGGGAGACACCAGCAGAGAGAGGGAATGTTTCTGGCTGGTTGGAATGAAGCATTGCGGTCGCATAGCGCGGTTGTGTCGCTGTGCTCACCATCTGCGCCATCTCGCACCATCTCGCAAGACGGCGCAGACGGCAAGACGGCGCAAGACGGAACAGACACAACAGACGGCGCAGACGGAGCACCGACAAAACCTGCCACGCTTTCCGCCCGCAATGGAATGAAGGTTTTTTTCCAATTCGTAATTCCTGGGTGGATAGGACAACAAACTTCTTGAGAACTGTCCACGACATTGATGCACATCGCGCCAGCCATAGATTTGGTTGCGGAAAACAAGGGGCCCCCATATCCTTATATCATCCTAGATCACAGCCCTGCCAATAGGATTTGCTACAGCTAACCCACTTGCATTGCAAGAAATTTGAGGCTGTACCAATACGGGTTTGATTTGGTCACGCGACGCAGGACATCAATATAATATATTCAAATCCAATAGGATTAGCTGCCGAGAATTTGTTTGTATTAACTTGTGCCCTTCAAAATCATTGCTGTGCGCAATGCTTCGGCTACTTTTAACTACATCTCCAAGTATGGATGAAACAGGCTGTGCCATGGTGATTCTTCTTCCCTGATGTGACTTTCCACTACCTGATGTGACTTCTCCGTATCGCCGCCGTGCCATGGGGATGATGTGACTTTTCCCGCCTGATGTGACTTAAGTACGGTGTTAGTAGCACTCTGGCGGCAGAGGCAAGTGCAGCAGACACCTCAGTAGACCGATCCAGTTTCTGCAATTTGATGATCTCAGAGATCTTGCAACGCATGCAATCCTTTCGAATCACTCTTCCTCTGCGAATGATTCAAGTGACCGATTGCAAATCTCTTTACGATTCAATCATAGCAGAGAATCCGTCCGTAGAGGACAAAAGGACGATCATTTCAGTGCGAAGCATTCAACAATACATCACTGCTGAAAATACCCATTGGGTACCCACACATCTTCAGTGGGCGGACGGTCTCACGAAGTACAGCAAGAAACTGATGACCATTTTCCATGATTGGCTCCAACATCCCTACATTCTTCTCAGAGACCAATCCCAAAAATAAAGGGAGTGTGAAGTTTGGTGCCGAGGGATTGGTCATTTGCACATCCATGAACCATGGGTTGTGACTGCAGTGCACTGGGCCGAGATTCATTAGAAAAGGCGCGTCGTTCTTTGCATGCCATGGCCATTTGATTTCTTTGAACACCATTTGCAAGCAGCACGCATTTTGGTGAGACATCCATCTCCATCCATCTCCATCCATCTCCATCCATCTCCATCCATCTCCATCCATCTCCATCCATCTTCATCCATCTTCATCCATCTTCATCCATCTTCATCCATCTTCATCCATCTTGATCCATCTTGATCCATCTTGATCCATCTTGATCCATCTTGATCCATCTTGATCCATCTTCATCCATCTTCATCCATCTTCATCCATCTTCATCCATCTTCATCCATCTTCATCCATCTTCATCCATCTTCATCCATCTTCATCCATCCTCATCCATCTTCATCCATCTTCATCCATCTTCATCCATCTTGATCCATCTTGATCCATCTTGATCCATCTTGATCCATCTTCATCCATCTTCATCCATCTTCATCCATCCTCATCCATCCTTTTCCATCTATCCGTATTCATCCATCCGTATTCATCCATCCGTATTCATCCATCCATATTCATCCATCCGTATCCATCTGTATCCATCCGTATTCATCCGTATCCATCCGTATCCATCCGTATCCATCCGCATCCATCCGTATCCATCCGTCATCCGTATCCATCCATCCGTATCCATCCGCATCCATCCGTATCCATGCGTATCCATCCGTATCCATCCGCATCCATCCGTATCCATCTGTATCCATGCGTATCCATCCGCATCCATCCGTATCCATCTGTATCCATCCATCCATACATACATGATTGCCTCTTTAGGTCTCCTGGCAGGGCACGGGCACACGGGCACACGTCGGGGTCTGAATGATTTTGGATCATGATCTTAAGTGTCTTAAGTCGAGATTTCAATCTACGTTCAATTGATGTTCAATTGATTTCAACTTACTTTCAATCGATTTTAATCTACTTTCAAGTGGTTGAAAAGTACGTTCCATTGATTTCCATTTACTTTCCAGTGATTTCAATTTACGTTCAATTGATTTAAATGTATTTTCAATTTACTTTCAATGGAGTTTCAATTAATTTCAACTTACGTTCAATTGATTTTCAATTGATTCCGACTTACTTTTAATTGGAATCCCATAGTAATCCCATAGACATATATTAGAAATATCATGGAAATCCCATAGGAATCCCACAGAAATCCTATAGTAATCCCATAGAAATACCATAGAAATCCGTTTTAAATCCCATAGTAATCTCATTGAAATATCATATGAATCCAATAGAAACATCATGGAAATCCCAAAGAAATCCCATAGAAATATCATAGACATACCATAGGAATCCAAAGGAAATTCCATAGACATCCTTTTGAAACCCCATAGGAATCCCATAGAAATACCACAGACACCCCTTTAGAAACACCATAGAACATCAGAGAAACACGACAAAATTCCATAGAAATCCCATAGAAAAGTTTTAGGCATCCCATAGAAACACCATAGAAATCAAGGAGAGGATGCCAGGAGAATTGAACTAAGTAAGAGACAAACGCTATAGCAAAGGAAAGGGGAAAAGGATCTTGGAAAAACATCACTTCAAAAAAACCTGGGCACACTAGAGGACCCCCACAACAAACATACTATTGAAAATCAGGGTAGCTCATGGGCTACCCCCTTGAAAAATTGTTTGAGTGCTTTTTTTTTAATGGGGTTTTAATAAGACATCCGATATTTTGGGAAATTAGACATCTTGAGAATTCCAAAAGAATGGAGATAAGAAAGTTAGATAGAAAAACTAAAGGACATGAAAAGGAACGGAAAAAAGGATTTTGGAAAATGTTCACTTCAAAAAAGCTGGACACAATAGAGGACCCCCACAACAAACATACTATTGAAATCTATTGAACATCAATGCTGCTCATGGGCTGCCTCCTTGAAAAATTGTTTGGGTGCTGTTTTTTTTTTCATGGGGGTTTGAATAAGGAAGTTGCTATGTTGATGTTTTTCAAATTGATTAATTAACGTGTATTTGTATGTTCAAAAACATGTTGCAAAATATAAATATATAATTTTTCATTGCTGTAAACAAAATCTCAAAAAATGAAAACTGCAAAAAAACTGAAAAATGCATTGCATCAGAAAAAAAGCTTTCCCCAATACCGACCCACCCCAACCACTACACTGGGTCAGAATTATTTTTGGGAAAACTTGGCACAATACAGTATCCCCACACTAATCGGGATATCACATTACATGCATACATACAGACATACAGACATACAGACACACAGGCATACATACACTTTTACATATACATATACATTTACATATACATATACGTATACGTATACGTATACACATACATTTATATATACATGCATACACATACATACATTTACATCCATATACATGCATGTACACAATACATATACATACATATACATACATATACATACATATACATACATATACATATATATATATATACATACATATACATACATATACATGCATGTACACAAATATACATAGACATTTACATTTACATTTACATATTCACATACACATACATACATACATACCTACCTACCTACCTACCTACCCACCTACCTACCCACCTACCCACCTACCCACCTACCCACCTACCCACCTACCCACCTACCCACCTACCCACCTACCCACCTACCCACCTACCCACCTACCCACCTACCTACCTACCATTACATACATACATACATACATACATACATACATACATACATACACACACACATACACACATACATACATACATACATACATACATACATACATACATACATACATACATACATACACTGTATATATATATATACTGTATATATATGTTACATACATACATACATCCATACATACATACATCCATACATACATACATTTACAATCATTTACATAGATTTACATACATATACATACATGTACACACACACATATATATATATACATTTACATTTACATACATATACACACATTTACATATACATACATATACATACATATGCATACACATACTTACATATACATACAGATACATACATATGCATACATAGGCCGAAAGGGAAAGGTGTTAGTTGTGCCCCCCCGATCCGCTCAAGTTCCCCTGGTCCTTCTCCTCACATGGCAAAGTCATCGGAATCGGAAAGAGAGGAAGATGAAGAGAGAGAGAAGAAAGAAAGGAAAAGAAATCCAAGAAAGAGAAGAAGCAGGCAGAGGAACAAAAGGCCGCGCAGGCAAGCACCTCGCAGAGACCCAGACACAAAGCAGAAGAGGAGGCTCTGACAACCCATAGGTCACCACTCAAGAAAGTGCAGATTGATGACAAACGCATTGATCACAGAAAGATCGACGACCACAGAGTTGAACGACAGAGTGACCTAGCAATCAGCGCGCCCTCGGAGCCAGCACGACTCCTACTACGCACTACAAACCTAGAACAAGACGTCGATGAACTACGGGAAATACATCATCGACGGCATGGCTAGGCATCGCAAACCTTTGGCATACCTGATGCAGCAAGTTGAGGCACAGCAAAACAAGGAAGCAGCAAGAGAGATTGTCATCACGGGTTGGCCTCTAGAGAAAGAAGGATACACAGAGCAAGCAAGACGAGACAGAATCCTTCACTGGATGGTCTCGCAGGCAAACACAGGCAAAGAAGTACAAATGATGAGCCACAGAACAAGAGAAGACATGCTTAGCTACATGAGCATCATCACCTTCAAATCCAAATGGGCAAAAGGCAAATTCCAAGGATGGTGGCGCAAAACGCTCACAACCAGATCCCCAGCACACTACTGGGACCAGAACGATCAGACATGGGACAAGTACACGCTGAGACAACGTATGCAGATTGGCAACATCAGCCGCACCAAAGGCATCCCTTTGAAAGTCTGCATGGAAGCCCTTAGCACACACCACCAAAGCACCTTCCACAGAGATGTCAGCAAATTATCCATCAAATGGAAAGATCGCGCAATCCTTGGTGGACTAGATGCCATGGCCTACATTGACTTCGACGAAGTGGAAGCCATCGGCACTATCATCATTAGGTCTGACCTCTTTGAGTGAACTACAATATCAAGAAGGAAGAAGAACAAAATGCAGGAAGCGGTGGAAAGAGCACAGGAAAAGGCAAAACAACACAATGGACACGAAGCAAGCCATACACCACATCGGACTTTCCATGGGAACTTCGCCTTGCCAAACAGAAAAACACAAGCACAGCCAGAGCAGCATCAAAGAAGAGGAGACAAGAAGGAGATGACAATGTGATGAAGGATTGACTCTGGGAGTCTACCGGCCATAGGGACCATTGCTATTACCATGATCGATAGTATTCGCTATTAAAGAGCCAGAATTCGAAAACCGCTGCCCGAAAGGGCCGTCGATATTATCCGCTAGTACAGATTGATGGTATCACTCACACTTCGGGGAAGCAAAAGACACCCCACCAAAATAATGCTAACACTAACGCCCAAGCGCCTTCAGCTTTGCAAGGCGGGCCGGAACAGCCGCGAGGTTTTCCTCCGCAAGACCGAAGTTTTTCCCATGGACGTTTGAATGAAGCAGCTGACAGGAAAAGAGCCGCAAAAAAGAGAGGTTTAAGGTCGAACACAGCTACCCCTCAAAGACGTACTGACAGATCTCAACGAACCAAATCTAAAACAGCAACGTCCAAAACAGCAATTTTATAGAGAATACAAAACAGCAACGTCCAAACATTGCGTGGTATTGGCCCCGCGCGCAATGTATAAGCACGGGGCCCTGGAAACCTCCAAGCCCAACAAACCAACCTCATATCAGGCGCAAAGATGGCTGCTCAAGAAATATAAAGAGCCACCCCGGCAAAAGCATAAGAATTCTAAGCAGCACGCATGCACGAAACTGACATATGCACGCACCCTTCGTGTTGGCATCCTCAACTGCAAAGGTCTAAAGCCCCATGGAGGAGATGTCAAACAACATCTCCTCGTCAATGTTATGCACGACCACAAAATGATCTCCTTCTCTTGCAGGAGACCCATGTCAACACGAACAGCACTGAAGTTTTAAAAGGACATACTTGTGTGTATTCCACCTCCATCACGGATGAGCAAGGGAAACAGGCTGAAACCAACAGAACTCATGAAGTTAATGAAGGCAAAGGCCGAGGGAAGGGACAGGCCGCTCCTCCCCGACCAGCTGTTGATCGAGAATATCACGGCGTTAGTGTTGTATTGAACCCGTTGGCCAAGCTATATTTACTGGACTTTGAGCAGATAACCAGCCGTTTAATGTCAATATGCCTCCAAACTGCTGGACCACCAATTCATATCCTGAACGCGTACGCACCACAAAGCGGTGTGGCCAGTCATATCAAAGAAGCCTTTTTACAACCAAGTGGAATCATGTTTCACCACATTGCCTCGCGCACGGCCCAAATATTTGTTTTGGTGACTTTAACGCACGTATTCATGCCAAGTTGGATCATGAACACAAACGCTCTGGAGGGGGCTCGTGGTTGGTAGCCGGTTCTCTGAACGTGAACTGGTTCTCCGGAACCTTCTGGAAGAAAATGTTCATGACTTTGAGATCACAGCTAGCGCAAAAATTCAAGAACATGTACCGGTTTTCAGCAACTTCATCACTGGTGAACTGCAAGTACTCCCGACCTCTGCCAAAGATATGAGTTTGCCCAGCTAGACTATGTTCTAGCCCCTGAAAGATGGAAAAAACAAACTAGACGACGGATGGCCCGAGATAGTAGAGGAGCAGGGTTCTTCTCTTGTTACTATGGAGACACCATATTAGAAAACAAGATATTAAAGATGTGTTATAGGCAGACGAGAAGAGTAGTATCAAGACAATATAGCACAAGTACAAGACAATAGTTTGCATCGTATCTTTCAAATAGCTTTTCACACACAGAACTTTTTGCAGAGAGACGCTTTTACACACAGATGCTTTTAGACACAGACACTTTTACATACGGAAGCTTTTGCGCACAGATATTTTTACACACGGAAGCTTTTACACACAGACGCTTTTACACACATAGGCTTTTACACACAGACTCCTTTACACACAGACGCTCTGCACGCAGACGCTTTACACGCAGACACTTTTACACGCAAACACTTTTACATACAGACGCTTTTAAACACAGAAGCTTTTACACAGACGCTTTTACACGCAAAAGCTTTTACACACAGAAGCTTTTACACACAGAAGCTTTTACACACAGACGCTTTTACACACAGACGCTTTTACACACAGGCACTTTTACATACAAACACTTTTGCACACAGGCGCTTATACACACAGACAGTTTTACACACAGACGCTTTTACACAAACAAGCTTTTACACAAACGCTTTTACACACTAACACTTTTACACGCAGACGCTTTTACACACAGACGCTTTTACACACAGATGCTTTTACACACAGACGCTTTTACACACAGACGCTTTTACACACAGACGCTTTGACACACAAACACTTTGACACACAGACACTTTTGCACACAAAAGCTTTTACACACAGACCCTTTTACACACTAACACTTTTACACACAGACGCTTTTACACACAGACGCCTTTACACACAGGAAATCGCAATTTGCTTCAGTTTTGGGCGATTGAACCTCATCTCATGCGAAAGGGTCGCGATTGGACAAGAGAAATTACAATTTCACTTCAGTTTTTGGCGATCGAACCTCGTTTCGTGCGAAAGGGTTGCGCGGGGCAACTTGAAATCGCAATTGTACTTCAGTTTTTGACGATCGAACCTCATTTCCTGCGAAAGGGTTGCGCGGGACAAATTGAAATCGCAATTTTACCGCAGTTTTTGACGACATCATTTCGTGCGAAAGGGTTCGCGGGACAAGTGAAATCGCAATTTTACCGCAGTTTTTGGCGATCGAACCTCATTTCGTGCGAAACGGTTGCACGGGACCCCTTGAAATCGCAATTTTACTTCAGGTTTTGGCGATCGAACCTCGTTTCGTGCGAAAGGGTTGCGCCGGACGACTTTGAAATCGCAATTTTACTTCAGTTTTTGGCGATCGAACCTCATCTCATGCGAAAGGGTCGCGATTGGACAAGAGAAATTACAATTTCACTTCAGTTTTTGGCGATCGAACCTCGTTTCGTGCGAAAGGGTTGCGCCGGACGACTTGGGAATCGTACTCGTAACTTTACCTCAGTTTTTGGCGATCGAACCTCGTTTCGTGGGAAAGGGTTGCGTTTCGTGCCGTCTCGTTGGCACTGCCCCTGCCCCCGCCTTCAGAAGAGAAATGGAAAAGAAGGAGAAGGCAAGAGGGCAAGAGGGCAAGAGGAGAAGATGTGAAGAAAGATGAGAAGATGTTAAGATGAGAAGATGTTAAGATGAGAAGATGTGAAGATGACAAAAGGTGAAGATGAGAAGATGTGAAGATGACAAAAGGTGAAGATGAGAAGATGTGAAGATGAGAAGATGTGAAGATGAGCAGATGTGAAGATGAGAAGAGGTGAAGATGTGAAGATGAGCAGATGTGAAGATGAGAAGATGTGAAGATGAGAAGATGTGAAGATGAGAAGATGTGAAGATGAGAAGACGTGAAGATGAGAAGATGTGAAGATGAGAAGATGTGAAGATGAGAGAAGATGTGAAGATGAGAAGTTGTGAGGATGAGAAGATGTGAAGATGAGAAGATGTGAAGATGAGAAGATGTAAAGATGAGAAGATGTGAAGATGAGAAGATGCGAAGATGAGAAGATGTGAAGATGAGAAGATGTGAAGATGAGAAGATGTGAAGATGAGAAGATGTGAAGATGTGAAGATGAGAAGATGTGAAGATGAGAAGATGTGAGGATGAGAAGATGTGAAGATGAGAAGATGTGAAGATGAGAAGATGTGAAGATGAGAAGACGTGAAGATGAGAAGATGTGAAGATGAGAAGATGTAAAGATGAGAAGAAGTTTTACAGACCCCCACTATTGGAAGAACCCTGCGCTCAGACGCTCTCGGGAATAAAGGATGTGACTGCTATGACCCGTATCTTTTTGGATTCTGACCACTACATTGTGATTGGGGATTGTTGTGTTCGACTCCAAGCCAAGCCTAAGCACGTTCATAGACCCAAATACCGTCAGCCCACGCGGGAACAAATTGCGGCTTTTAACGCTGTGATTGCTCAATACATGCAGGAAACCACTCGTCGTGACATTGGCGTTTTTCTTCGGGCCATTCAAGATGCAGACAAGCAGTGTTGTGTTTTACTGAGGTGCCACTTAAGCAACGCAGGCCTTATATTTCTGGATCCACTTGGAACAAGATCTTGAGAAACCAGGCGCATGAACAAAGCGATTGGGCCACTGTTGCGTAGCTAAACGTAGAAATCAAAAGGGATGCTCGTAAAGACAAAAAGAAAGCTTTAATCAATACTCTAGAACAGTGCCAAGATGAAAAAGAAAAATGGGAAGGCCCAAGCTGCTCAAATCCAAAAACTGATTCAGTTTTTCCAAGTTGAAAGACCGTCATGGTAACAGAGTAGGTCCTTGCCAGCGTGCAGAAGCAATTGCCCATTATTTACACCACGAACAATGGCGCCCTGCGCCAGTCCCACCAACCAAAAATCGATGTAAGCTTATTAGCAGTGACCTGGGGATGAATGCAGACGATTTCAGCAACAAAGAAGTCATCGCTGCCATAAAAAATGAAAGAAGGGAAGGCGCCATGACAAGATTAAAATTGACACAATTAAAGCACTGGACGCGGAAAATTGCGATTTTTTGGACGCTTGCCTTCAATGAGTGGTGGACGTCGGAAAGCATCCCCGCATTGATTGTATCGATATTCAAAAAAAGGAAATACCCAGGATATCGCAAATTATAGACCCATCTCCTTGTTGACTTGTACTTATAAGATTTTCACTTCGATACTACAGACCCGGATTGCCTCTATAATTGATCCCCATCTTGCCAGAACTCAATATGGCTTTAGAAGTTCTCATTCAACCCAGCAGCCCGTAATCCAGGACATCGCTGAGGTAAGCAGTGGTGAGTTATTATTATTATTATTAACTTTCTTGGACTGGAAGCAAGCGT